TAGGGTTCTTCAAAGGGAATTGACCTTGGGAAGCTGGAGGTGAGAGCTTTGTCTCCTGTTGAGCTGGCTGCCTTCCACATGGCTTTACCCAGGATGGCTTGGAAAGCTGCCATCTCTAAATGCAAATTGGAGATGATGGGAGACAATGGGAGGTTCATTGTATCCTGGAGAATTTAACTCTTGCAATACAATGTCAGATCTGTGAAAATTAGTTTAAAATATTGAAAATAATTTTTAAAAATTATGCTGTGGTGTTTTATAGAATAACACTGCACCTTGGGGTGCCTGGCTGGCTCAGCCAGTAAAGCATGAGACTCTTGATCTTGGGGTTGAGTTGGTTCAGGCCACACGTTGGGTATAGAGATTACTTAAAAATAAGATCTTTAGAGGTGCCTGGATGGCTCAGTCAGTTAAATGTCTGACTTCAGCTCAAGCCATGATCTCATGGCTTGTCAGTTTGAGCCCCGCATCAGGTTCTCTGCTGTCATCACAGAGCCTGCTTTAGACCCTCTGTCCCCCTCTCTTTCTGCCCCTCCCCTGGTTGTGCTCGATTGCTCGCTCTCGCTCTCTCTCTCCCTCAGAAATAAATGAACATTAAAAAAATAATAAAATCTTTAAAACAAAACAAAATATTGGATCAAAATATCCTCCATATAAGCCTCATAGGTCATGGTGTCTGAAGTTTTCTCAGCATCTTAACACCAAAAGCGGGGTGTTATTTAGCCTCATAATCTGCTGTATTGTTTGTTTTGCAGACTTGCAGAACTGACCAGCCTTGTGTACATTTTCATTCATTTCTGAGAAAAACACAATGTGGTCTCACTCACAGTTCCAAAAAAAGCCAACTGCCAAATTGTTCTCCTGAACAACAGTTTCTTCTCATTCTCCCAAACCTGACATGATTCTGGCAGATCTCAAGGCATGAAGGCTGTGCTGGGGCCCAGAATCTGATAACAGGGCCATAAATTTTATTTTTAATCAGCCAAAATGCATACTTGCCTAGAATTTTATTTACAGCCAACTTTTTAAAATCTCACATTACAAGAAAAATGCTAACTCAGATGCAAATCAATAATGATTCTGTCTTTAGGATTGAAAACAAAATTGGATTCAATAGATCAAATTCAATATCTAACACTGGGGATGCTGTGCGTGTTATTTTGGGGGAAGGCATGGACATGATTGATGTCTATCCTGAACAGGCAGATAGAAATAGTAAAAAGTCTTTCAGTTTCTCAGGCAATTGAATGAAATACCTATGTGTGGACTTAAAAAGCACGTTTTCCCATACTACTTAAATTAAGAATGTGTTTCTCCTGTGACCCAGCATGACTGCATCTGGTATTTCTCAAGGAAGTACATTCATGGGCCCATAAAGGGAGCATGTGGGGATTTTCATGGTGGTGCAGTGTGGAAGTGGGGCTTGAGCCCAGTAGAATCCTGTGTGGCAGCTTGAGGCTTGGGACATACGGACATAGTGCAGACAGATCTTTAAAACATTACTATTGAGTGAACGAAGAGGCAGGATGGGATCTAGTTTAGGTAGATTCAAAATACGCAAGCTTATAATAGTTGTTCACGTTTTATAAGAGCATAGATAGGGATCCATGTGGTTTCCTTATAGAATGGGAGCAGGACACAGAGAAGATTGGGGATGAAAGTGAATAAAGAGTAAAAATGCATGGGACCTTCCAGAGGCCAATGACGACAGAATGACAAGATCTTCTGCCCAGACACCCAGAAAAGTGGAGGAAAGTACAAGCTATGAATGAATAAAACTTCATGTGGAGGAAGGCTGGGTCTAACATTGGGAATATAGCATACACTTTCCCAAAATAAGTAAATAAATGAGTTCTGATCTCTTAAGAATAAATGGGTACTTATAACTTTAATTTCTTCAGTGATCCTGAGAATGGACATGGCTAGCTATTTTGGACATTAAAGTTCACTGCTAGTGTATGTGACACAGAAGGTGTCCAGCCATTAGTAGCCTTTTGTTGAAGATTTTAAACTCAGATGTATTTAACTTGATGCATAAATTACCGCCTTCCTCAGGAGTAATAACATTCTCCCAGATACTTGTAAATTGGTTTTTCAAAAAATAGACTCTTCCCATTTATCCTTTTCTCTCCCACTAACTACTGATCTGTTCAGTGACTCCATAGTTTTGCCTTTTCCAGAATGTCATGTGGTTGAAATCAAATGATATGGAGCCCTCTCAGATTGGCTTCTTTCATGTTCCAATATGTATTTAAGGTTCCACAATGTCTCTTCACAGCTTGGTAGCTTATCAATCAGTTTTCAAAAAAATTTTTTAATGCTTATTTAATTTTGAAAGAGAGTTACAGAGCAGGAGTTGGGGAGGAGCACGGAGAGAGGGAGACACAGAATCCGAAACAGGGTCCAGGATCTGAGCTGTCAGCCCAGAGCCCGATGAGGGGCTCAAACCCACAAACCATGAGATCATGACCTGAGCTGAAGTCGGCAGCTTAATGACAGAGCCACCCACGCACCCCTATAAATTAGTTTTCAAAAGAATATTTGATCTGAGTATCTTCAAAGTATAATTATTTTCTGTACTTAATATATTGCTTAAAACAGTATAAAATATGGGAAATTTGTACCAAACAAGCCTGTAATTGAAGCCAGATGTTGCATCTTATCATCCCCCCCCCCCTTAGGTTTTGGTGGCCCCTAGGACACCTCTCTACAAATTAAAAAAGGTGCCCATTCCTCAAGAAAAGCTGTATAAGTGCATATAAACAACAAGAGCTACCTAGAAGGGCTTTCCAGATGCCAATGGCAGCAGCCTTCATGCCTTCAATCACTCTCCTCTTCATGTGCACCCTGGACCCCAGGACGCCCTTTGCTGGCTTCCCGAACACTCCATGTTCCTCCCACGCTGCCACCTAGAATCAGGCAAGGCACTCTGGCTCACCAGTGTCAAGGGGCAGGTAGGCGAGGGAAGCAAGCTCAGAGCCCCCAGAGCAGGGCTGGGACAAGGTGTGGGCGTGCACATGCGCTCTGCAAGTATGGGCTGCGCTCTGCAAGTGTGTGCACAGCTGTGTGTACAGTGAAGGCTGATTAGAGGAATTTACCAGAAGGAGACTTCCTGCTGCCCCAGGGCTTGTACAAGAAGCCTGAAATGGTACATTCTCCACCCACTGCTGCCCCCAGTTCTTACATAGCTAAGTCTGCTTGGAATGATGACTTTGTGGGGTACACAGGATGTGTGTGACCCTCGGACTGGCATCCATCACCTCAAGTAGCATCTCCCAAGGAGAGTTTCCACTGTTTTGACCTGTTCTTGTGTGGCACTGGGGAGGAGAGCCATGACGGGGCGCAGGGAGGGGCAGGAAGGCCATCTGGACATCCTGTGGTAGAGGTGAATCACCGCACACTCCCATGGCTTGAAGCTCCCTGGGTACTGCATCTTGCCTATTTATCTACTTGCTTACATTTCTGTGGTCTGTACTTTGCAAGCCTTTGAGCACAAGGCTGCACTTGGTTTCAAGTTGAAACTACTCTGCAAAAACTCATGCTCTGTATTAGTTTGCTTCGGTTGCTATAACAAAGGACCACAAACTGGGTGGCAGAGACCATAAGCGATGTGTTGTCTCACTCTTCAGAGGGAGACAGAGGCTGGAGGCCAGAGATCAACATGTCAGCAGGGCTGGCTCTTTCTGAAGGCCAAATGGGAGAATGTGTTCCAGGCCTTGCCTTGGTCTGGTGGTTTGCTGGTGATCTTTGGGATTCCTTGTCTTGTGGACATGTCACCCCGATCTCTGCCTTCAGCACGTGCCATTCTCCCTTTGTGCAGGTCTGTGTCTGAATCTCCCTTTTATATAAAAACACACTGGATTGGGGCCCACCCTATTCTAGTGTGACCTCATCTCAAGTAATTATACCAGCAACGACCCGGTTTCTGAATAAGATCACATTCTGAGGTACTGGGGGCTTCAACATAAGGATCCTCAGGGGATGCAATTCAGCCTATAATACTCTCTCCCTCCCAGTAACAAGAATCTCTCAAGTAAAGACATCTCCTTGAAGGTACAAAGAATAGGACACATTTTTCAACAAAGAGTTCAACAAAGAGTCACTATGGAAATAAATGAGGACCATTCACATGAGAAGCCAAAGGTATTCATTTGGAGCTTGCTCTAGTAAAGGAGTCAGTCACCATCACTTACCTTTGGCAGACGCTTGTGGGGAGGCAGGGGAGGGGGAGAGCTTTATTGTGAAAAGGAGGGAGGCTCTGGATCTTCCACGTGCCCTGATTGTAGGCTGTTGGCATGGGTCAGGCGTAGGTGGGCCTTTACGAGGAGTAGGGTATCCTGTGTGCTTGGTTAAAGGTGCACATTTAGCTTTCCCTGGATGGTCCTAAGTTGGAAATGGGGTTGAAAATTAAATCACTGAAGCTGTTATTAACCAAATCCTGGATGTTTGGGCCAATTGCTCTGGAGGTTGGCTTCCTAGCCTGGGTGCTGCAGATAGTAGCTTGACTTCCTACACTAGTTGACTTCCTAGACAGGTTATGGGATGGCTTCCTGGACTGATTGCTGCAGATTGTGAGTCAAAGTTCTATTTTTATATATGATCTGGCCCCTTGTCCATTTGTCACTGAATTCACATGTTGGATAGACCTGCCAGTTCCCCATTTCTGCAAATGACTTAAGTATATATTATTGTAAACTTATGGAAACAGTAATTTAAAGGTTTTCCAGTCTCGAGACCCCAAGTTTTCCCAAGAGCCTCCTCCTCTGTACGGCTTTACTGGGGTTGTTCGCACAGGCCACGTTCTTGGGTCTCCTCTGATTCATAAATCATCAAATGTTTGCTAAATGTGTGCTGCACACGTTGGCCTTGGGTAGATGGAAGGAATCAGAGGCTACAGACCCAGTCCCTGCCTTCAGAGGGACCAGTGAGAAAGACAAGCAGGTAGATAGTAGAGTCCAACCCGCTCAGTTGTCAAAGATTTAAAAAAAGCCAGACACTGAGGAGGTGAAGGACAGATTTTAATTGTAATATACTATTACAGTAGGGAAGTAGCTATAGCATGAACTCAACCACAATTATACAGAAGTGATTGGGTGTGTTACAGGGAATGAGGGGGCAGGGGGGTGGGGTGAGGCGGGGCTCAGTAGAGTTGGCGAGGTGAGAAATTACAAAGAGTTGGTCAGCGTAACTGCTGATGAGGCCAGCTGTGTCTGCCCGCTGTCGGTCGTCAAAGTTAGGATCCTGTCCTCCCAGAAACTGGGAGACAGAGGCCTGTCCTTTGTGATGGTTACATTGTAAAGGATAGCTTTCATGTCCTGGTTGTAGCAGATAGATAGATGGATGGATAGACAGACAGATACGTAGATGTAGAAATAGATACATACATCTCAAAGGGACAGAGGAAGAATTCACAGTTGTGAGCCCCTTTTAGTAAATGCTCTAAGAAACGCTGGTCAGGTGCCTACTGTCAGAACAAATGGTTAATTCTTTTGTCAGTCTTGAGCTTTCTCAGGCAAGCATTGGTGGGGGAGGGGTTGGGTCATCCTAGGGATGTGGCCTTGAGCTGTTAGAATCTGTTAGTGTTTAAGTGTCTGAGTATGTGGGGAGAAGGTGGACAACCTCATTTGGGTTGAGAGTGTGTAGTTTTTATAGGCCAAGGTTGAGGCCTATTTGCGAAGAGGGCTCAGAGGAGCCTGGCTGGAGTTTGGTCAAGGAGTCTTTGTCACAGTGCTGCCCTGAAGGTGAGCACAGGAGGCGTGTGCACGTGTGTGTCCGTCCAGCCAGGGGTGAGGGGCCAGCTGGACCGGAATGAGCAATGCCAGTAAATGAAATGAATCCTATCAGAAGGGGGAGCGTGGAGGGGAAGAGCACAGTTGAGGTTTTTGGGGCCTAACACGTATAGAATTAAAAGACCCTCTTTAAAAAAATACAAAATCAGGAATACAAAATTAAGTAGTGGGCTGGGGTGGGGGAGCAGGCAGGTAAGGTGGCCTGAAGTGTAAGCTTCTCTTGGTTCACGAGAAGTCTACTTCTTGGGAAGGGTGTGTTCCAGGCCCTGTGAACGGCAAGAACAAAGACGGTGAGGATAGAAAGGGCCTGGCATGTTTAGGCACTGAAATAATTCAGAACTGGGTCTGCACGAAGGATGTGGAAGACTTGAAGCTAGAGAAACACCTGGGGATCCAATTACAAGAAGGGCTTAGGGGTCATCCTAAAAGTATGGATTTTGCTCTGTCAGCTGTGGGGAGTCACAGGAGGATTTCAGGCAGAGGAGTGCCTTGATGAGTTATTTATGTATTTGAGAGAAAGATTACTCTGGAAGGAAGTATGGAGGATGCGCTGGAGATGCCAGGTAGAAGTTGTCTCCAAGGCACTCCTCCCACAGGCCAAGGAAGACCTATGTCGTCACAGCATATTATGTGTACATGATCTCAGAAAAGATGCCAGGTACATACAGAGAAAGCTGCTTTTCATCAAAAACATTTCTAGGGGTGCCTGGGTGGCTCAGTCAGTTAAATGTCCAACTCGGGTCATGATCTTGCGGCTCGGGTCATGATCTTGCAGTTTCTGAGTTCAAGCCCTGCATTGGGCTCTGTGCTGACAGTGCAGAGCCTGCTTAGGATTCTCTCTCTCCCCCTCTCTGCTCTTACCCCACTCATGCTCAGTCTCTCTCAAAATAAATAAACTTAGGGGCACCTGGATGGCTCAGTCAGTTAAGCGTCCGACTTCGGGTCGGGTCATGATCTCACAGTTCGTGAGTTCGAGCCCCATGTCGGGCTCTGTGCTGACAACTCGGAGTCTAGAGCCTGTTTCAGATTCTATATCTCCCTCTCTCTCTGCCCCTCCCCAACTCATGCTGTCTCTATCTCTCATAAATAAATAAACTTAAAAAAAAAAACTTAAAAAAAATAAAAAACATTTGTAGATTATTATTTCTCTAAGTGTAAAAGTGAGTTTACATATATTATTTTGGAAAAGAGGCCCAAGCTAGCCTAAGGCTTGTTGATGATTGTTGCATGCATGATACCACATTTTATTTTGAATAAAAAGTTATATATTTGATTTATTTGTCCTTGGGTATCATACATATAAAAAGGAATAGATTTTTAAATGATGATTTTTTGAAAGTCAGATAATTGTGCCACACCTTAATGGTTAACGTTCTATTTCTACGCCTTACCCTTTGGTACAAAAAAAATGCCTCGAGGAGAGTGGGCTTTGTATCACACAGCCTGTGACGGACGCAGAGGGCGACATCTTTTACTAAAAGCAAAAGTCTTAAACGAACAGCACATTTACCGCTAGGCAGGCCCTGCTGCTTTATAGCAGGGAGTTCTTAGATCCCTGTAAGGGGATACTCAGTTTCTCCCCTCCAGATTTTCCTTTTTAATTTATTGACAAATCTTTGCTTTGATAGAATAAAGACATTCCATGCTGAGGGAAGATCTGAGATAAAGCATCTGGAAAGCATAACCGCCAATTTATATGACTGTGTTTCTAGTCTCAAAAAGAACAGTGATTATTTGCATTTGGTCTGTCTTTCCTCTTGTACAGATGAAAGAAGGGCAATTGATTCACACCACACCTAACTCTGAATGTGGCAGCCACATTCACTTGAATTCACTTGAATGTAGTCTAAGAACTTACACGTTGTCCAGACTGGAAGGGGATGTCAGGCACCGACCGGTGTTCTCGCTTTCTGCCTCTTAAAGCAGCAACTGAAATCTTACTGTGGAGGTCTGATATAGATGGGGTAAGAGCTACCTGCTCTGGTTTCAGGGACAGGCCTTATGCCCACCTCCTTCCATGCAGCCCTCCAGGCTTTTACACTGAGTTTGTAACCACTGATGTCCAGTTCCTGCATTTTCCACTTAGACAACTGACACTCTGGGGGCCCCTGAGTGGCTCAGTTGGTTGAGCGTCCAACTCTTGATACTGCTTGGGTTGTGATCTCATGGTTCATGAGTTCGAGCCCCACATCTAGCTCTGTGTTGACAGCACAGAGACTGCTTGGGATTCTCTCTCTCCCTCTCTCTCTGCCTCTCCTCCACTCTCTGTCTTTCTGTCAAAAATAAACAAACATTTAAAAAGAAGAGAAAAAACCTGACACTGTAAGATAAAGTGACTCATGTCTGTTCACACTGTCTACAAGTCAATCTTAATTTCCCTTCTTTCTATTGCTTTACGGAGTCAGTGCTCTCTCCACGAAGTCACACTGTTTTACTTCAAAAATGCTTGCAGATTTGGGGGACTTACTGATTTTTTCCATCTCTAAGGAATTCAACCATCACAGATTGTGGAAACCCTTCCCTCCATTGTCTAAAGAAGTGGAGCATGCTCGTGTATGTTCATACCATCGCATCACACAGACACTTCTCTTCACGTGACTACTTAACATGTAGGAACAGTAAATCCACCCATTTTATTGATTAAACAACTGAGATTCTGAAACGACCTGGCTCTTGAGAAAAGAGCAGCCTGAGCCAGGCAATTCCTTCAGTGCCCATTGTCAGGGAAATGTATTGAGATTTTCTTTTTTTAACTGTTTATTTTTGAGAGAGAGCACAAGTCAGGGGAGGGGCGGAGAGAGAGGGCGACAGAGGATCGGAAACAGGCTGTGTGCTGACAGCAGAGAGTCTGATGCACGGCTCGAATTCATCAACCATGAGATCATGACCTGAGCCGAAATCAAGAGTAAGACACTTAACCCATGGAGCCATCCAGGCGCCCCCTGTATTGAGATTTTCTAAAAGAGCAAGTAGGCAGCTTTGAATCACCTGCCGCCTCTAGGAAATGCTTCTTCCTGCTTCAGAGGCCTCTCCCTTTTCTGTATTATCATTATTTGGTCTGTCCGATCTAAATACATGTTCCCTCACAAACGACAGAAATTGTCTCCCAAAGAGTCCATTTGTCCTGTCTTCCTTCCGGTGAACCCACCCCCCTCTCCTCCTGACCCCACGGAAATGTTCCCCATGACCAGCAGCCTCCTCGTACTGGATGAACAGAAACCAAACCTATTGGCTTTTTTGGAGTCTGGTTATTTCAACCACTTATAGAAAAATGAAAGTGCTGTATGCAGAGTGATAATCATAAGTTTATCTAGGGCCAGGACTCATTCATTTATCGGACAAGTGTTAGGAATAGCTTTCTGTCCCCAGGAGCGAGAGGAAATAGACTGTATATTCATGGGGGCTACACTTCAGGGCAGAGCAGATGTGCCCCAAAGAGCACCAGCTCCAGGTCCCTGCATGGCCGTCAGGGAAGGCTGCAGGGAGAGCAGACATTCGGTTGGACTTTGAGGGATGGCCTCCAATCTGGAGGTGGAGTTGGAAGGCAGCCCCTAGCAGCAGAGAAGTGGAAGACGGGGAATGAGGACTGGGCCATTGGAGCCCTGGTCCGGGATGTGCGGGGAGACAGACCCGGGAAGGTGGTCGGACTCCCGCGAAGAGCTGAGGGCCAGCCTGAGGTTCTGTGTTGGACATGACTGAAGGTCATGCTCACAGCTGCCCTGGGCAGTGGCCGGTGGGGAGGAAGTTCCTGCCGGCAGTGAGAAATAAATGGAATGTGCCTGCGACAATGTAGGAGCGATGTGGGAAGGCCAGAACCGGGGTGCCAGTGGGGAGAATGGGGTGGGGTTGCCCCAGCAGATAACATTGAAGAAAGAACAAGAGCTGGAGAAGCAATGCACATGGGGGTGAGGACAGAGGGTGGGTCATTGGCGTTCCTTCCATTTTGAACTGCGATGGTGACGCCCTTGACTGAAGTGAGGGATGGAAGACAAAGACCTTTTTGGTGAGAAGGCTCTGACTTTAGTTCCAGATGCATGGACGAGAGGCCAGGTCACGTGTTTCTTGTGCTTCCAGAAGGAAGCAATGGTGAAAAGAGAAGCAGTCCCCACAGATTGAGAAAGGAGATTGTCAGCGCTTAGAAGGCACGACTGCCTTGTGAATTTAGGTGTGAGACGGCACTGGCCTTCCTTACTTGGATCCCCCTATCCATCTTCCTTCTTTTTTAAAAGCGACTGAAACACAAAGGTGACAAGTGACTGTAGCATGGCAGAAATCACATCAGCATTCCCTTCCTGCTGTTACCCACAGTTTGGTGGCGACGGACATTCTCGGGGCTACGGCTCTAAGCTTCATGCTTGCAAATCCTTGGGCTCTTCTGGAGTGAGCTTCATCAGTTTATCCACACAGAGCAGGATGAGAGTGAGGAACCACAGACTCCAGCCAACCGCGGCTGCAATCCAGCCATATTCATCCACTCCAGCGTGGCAGCACCGGGCTGCCTGAGGACAGAAGTCCACGTCTGGTGGGGAAGGGAGATCAAGAACAACAGGGTGCATCACACCAGCCCACCCAACTCCTTCCCCAACGTCCATAAGAACAAACTAGGAAGAATACAGCAGCTACCATTTCCAAAGCACATGCATGCACTAATGCTACGTGCTTCACAGATGTTCCCTTATTTATTCCTGACACACTGATAGGTCCAGTGACTGTTTCCATTCTCCATGAACAAGCTGAGGCTGTAACTCACCCAATGTCACTAGATGGCAGAACAAGAGCTCCAACCCAAGTCTGTAGGAGTCCAAAGCCATGTACTTAACCTCTACATATTATTGCCTATTACCATCTTTCATAAGTGCCCATAAGTAAATGCATTTGATCATTCAGTGAGGGCAGCATAAAGGGAGCCAGACGTAGAATAGAGCAAAACTTTCTAGTAATTGGACATGTATCACAGCAGTTGCTGCTTTATGAAATACTGGCCTCCTCGCCATTGGGAATATTCAAGTCAAGGATGCACGGAAATATGCAAAGGGTACAAAACAAAGCTCCGGGCCAAGGCTAAGATAGCTTTTTAGATGTGCTATGCAAGCAGTTCTGGAGGCCATGAACAAACCACACCAGTGCCCAGGACGGCCAGGCAGGCACTCAGCCAGTGGACACCAATAAACAGAAAGCAAGGAGGCTTAAGATTCCCTCCCATATGCAGGGCCAGCTCTGGGCTTGTGGCAGTTGCCAGAAGAAGCTTACTGGGACACTGCTCCAGGGTTCCGGGGTCTGGGTGGTGAGTGGTCAAGGTTGAGTTGATGCTGTTCCTTGCTTCTGGAAGAAAAGATTGAAGATGGTCTCAGGCAGTAGGAACAGCCATTCCGAGGTATAGAGTTTGAAATCTGTTTTGTGACTCAGTAGTGATACTATGAGATTGTTATAGACTATTGTTAAGACTTCGTGCAACAAAGCTAACTCTCTATTATGGACTGAACTATCTCCTCCCCGACAAGGTTCACTGTGAAGTCCTAACCCACAGGAGTGACTGTTATTTGGAGAAAGGGCCTTTAGAGAGGCAGTCAAGGTTAAATGAAGTCGTATGGGAGGGTCCTCATCCAGCATGACTGGTGTCCTTGGGGGAAGAGGAAGACACACGAGGGAGGCACCTGCACAGTGAAAAGACCAGGTGAGGTCACGGAAGATGGTCATCTGCAAACCAAAGAGAGGGGACTCAGGAGAAAACAAACCTGGTGACACCCGAAGTCTTCAGAACTATTGGAGAATACACTTCTGTTGTAGAAGCCACCCAGTCTGTGGTACATTGTTATGACAGTAAATGAATACACTCCCCCTTTCCTTTCACTGCTATCATTCAGAGATGCTTGATCTGCATATCTCATTGACTCATTCCTTCATACCTCATCTCCTTCATATATTATCTCTTCAGGGGCTAAGGGCCTGTTGTATACAGCTTTCCAAACACTCTATTTTAGCTGTTTTCTATGCAAATACCTATGTCCATAAATGGTTTTCTAATATATCACTTAAAGCAATCACTTAAAAATCTAGAATGTCTTTCCATAATTCAATTCCCTTTAAAAACTTGAACAAATAGATGTTGAAATCTGACTTTGATTCTGTACTTCCGATGATTATGTTGGTATTACTCAGGCAGATGGTTATCAAACAAATGAAACCCTGTACAAACAAGTCCAGAGGTTGCTAGAATATGCAGCCATTAGAATTGGCTCTTGTTCAGTAAGTAAGGAGCACAACGATAAAAAGAAGTCTAGCAGGAATTCTCAAAGTCCTATCAGTTTGGGGGTGAGGTGGGGCTGTGGAGATGAGCATAAAGATCTCAAGCAAGAAAAGCCATTGTCCATGTTCCCTGTCCTACTGAGAATGAGCAGATGGATGATCTAAGTCCCCTTTGTCCAATATGGCAGCTACCTGTGGCTATGGAGAATTCAACTTCCTGGTCATATTAGCCACATTTCAAGTGCTCAGTTACCACAATGGATCCACATTCCAACATGCTTCCATACTGGAAGCACAGCATGGATTTGGAACATTTCTGTAGAGGCCACTTTTAGGCAATGGGTTTGAGCACTGGGAACTTGAGGAAGACAAAAGGGCCCACGGTGAACCATGGAGCTGAATGCAAACAGGCTCATCAAGTGACCCACGATGAAATAGCCGTAGGGCCTAACTGACCAGTTATAACCAGGCACAGTTCCTAAGATTACCAAAAATGAGAAAAAATTCCATACATTCCCACACTCCCTTGTTCTGCTCTGTAACTACGGCCGCTCACCACTGCCCTGTGCACACAGTCTCTGCTTTGCTGTCCAGCCGGCTGCTCCCTTGTAAAACTTCTATCTCCTGTGTCCTGCCTTGGGTGAATTCTTTCACTGCCTGTGCTGCTGACCCCTCCCAGTTGGGATTCCCCAGCAACTTTCATCATCAAAAAAATTTTTATTAGATTTTTATTAGATAAATCAATTTTTATTTATTAGGTAGATGAAAACCACGAGATCAATTTTAAAGACTTTTTCTGGAAATTATATTGCTGTTCTGCTTCCTTGAAACAAAAAATGTGGCTTGGAAACTTTCAAGGCCCCACTGACTCCAGGTCAGCATGTCCTTCAAAGGAGCTCGTTGTCACGTAGCAGGACAAGTCAGGAGGAAACTTCTTGTTTAGCCAAAGCCATGAAATTGCTGCCCAGACTAATTTTATGCCACCCACCCACCCAGGCCTCTCCAATGTCCTGCCTAAAATATAGTAATTACCTTGATGCAATCTGATTGTTACTGTAAATTATTTACAACTAAATGACTTCAAGCTCAGTCTTTATTTGTTTTGGAGAAATTGATTCCTCAACATTTAATTTCCCTTTTAACCCAAATGACTTCCTTGGCCTTGACTTTCATCTCCCCTCTGCCCTAAAAGGGAAGTGGTCCACATCTAGAGCAAGTGAGTGGAAAAAACCTAGTTAATCAGATGCTGGTATTAGGTTAAACCATTCGAAATTGCCATTTCGATAAGTCAAAAAATTGTTCAGTATCCGTAATCTTACATGGATCAAGCTAAACAGCTTAGTTACTCATTTCTAAGAATTTAAGCCTCATCCTCCTCCCTCAGAAGCACAACCAGTCAGGGAATGGTCCATTTGGGGTCATTTACAAAGTATACAGTGCTGGTAAGACCCAACAGTTCAGTGCAGTTAAATTTATCAAAAATTTTTTTAATGCTTATTTATTTTTGAGCCAGAGAGACAAATGCTTGAGGCAGGGAGGGGCAGAAAGAGAGGGAGACACAGAATTCGAAGCAGGCTCCAGGCTCTGAGCTGTCAGCACAGAGCCCGACACAGGACTTGAACCCATGAACCGCGGGATCATGATCTGAGCCAAAGTCAGACACTTAACCAACTGAGCCACCCAGGCACTCCATAAATTTGTCAAGTTTTCTGAGAGCCCGTCATAAGCAAGTCTCTGTGAGGATAAACAAAAAAAAAAATAAAGAAATAAAACAGTCTTACTTGGGGAGGGGCACTGAAAAATAAAACAAATAGGCTAACAGTTAATGTTTACCATGTGCTAATAATTTGTTAAAAGTTCTTTACATGCAGTAGTCTCCATTTGTCTTTATGACAACCCTATATTACAAGCACTACAATTACCCCCATGGTATAAATGAGAAAACTGGGGCACAGAAAGGTTATGCAGTTTGCTTAAGTTCACACAGCCGGTTAAGTTGCAGAAGCCAGAGTTGAGTTGAGGTTCAGTGGCTAGAGCTCACGCTCTGAACCTCCAAAGAAGAGGTGGCGAGGTCAAGAGAGACAGATACCGCCCTGAGGGGGACATGGAGGAGTTGGCTTTGATAGAGGGAGATCTGCCTAGGACAGCGCAGAAGCTGTGGAGCAAGATCAAAGCTGGAGGGCAAAGCCAGGAGCTTGAGAGTGTGAGGGAGGTCTCTCTGCATGGGATGCAGAGCCCAGCCTGAGAAAGCAAGACGGGGGCTGCCACTCAACCTCTCCAGCTTCTGTGAGAAGACAGGGCACTAATCAACATCTCCCATGCCAGAGATGGTGGGAGAATGGTAGGCAGCCTTGGGCAGCTTTCATGCGTTAAGGTTGTTTTTTTTGTTGTTGTTGTTGTTGTTTTAAATGTTTTATTTATTTCTAGGAGAGAGAGAGAGAGACAGTGTGAGCAGGGGAGGGTCAAAGAGAGAGGGAGTCACAGACTCTGAAATAGGCTCCAGGCTCCGAGCTGGCAGTCAGCACAGAGCCCGACGCGGGGCTCGAACCCACGAACCGCGAGATCATGACCTAAGCGAAAGTCGGACGCTTAACCGACTGAGCCACCCAGGCGCCCCACATGCATTAAGGTTTTATGAAAGTTGCAGAGGAAGTGCAGGATCGAGGGAGGGAGGCAGCGAGGATCAGGAGTACAAAGAGGGGATTGCAAACCACAAGAGCCAGGGGCGCTGAGAAGGAGCTGTTGAGAAACAGCAACCAAAAAATGTCATTTTAGTCCAGTTTGGTCCCTTGATGGGAGAGACTGTCCATACATTGCTTTTTGTGGTAAAGGCCAATTCAGGTGGCTGCTCCTGTCCTAGCTAAGGAGTTGAGTATTTGATCGTGGTCTTAGTAAACGTAAGACACCCCCACCCCAACCCACCACATCCTACCTAATCTTTCAGATGAAAAAGAACAGTTTGCTCTTTCCTTTGTGCAGGACCAACCCTAGCCAAGGAATCCTCCTCCCTCCTTCCCTCCCTTCCTCCCTCCCTCCCTCCCTCCTTCCCTCCTCTCCCTCCCCTTTCCCAGTGTGGCCAAGAAAAAAGTTCACAGTTCTACCTGCCAAGCAAGCCAAGTGGAAGGAGGCAAAGAACAGGCTGAGGGCCAGGGTGGCCCGGGGTGCAGGGGTGAGGTGCTTCATGCTGAGAGCAAGGCGTCTGTCTGCACTATCTCCGCAGAGGAGCACCGAGTGCTGTGAGCCATGGGTCCTGTATGCACCGCGTCCACAGGAGCTTGAAAGCAGTGTTGTCAGAGGTGAATTTCTGCTCTGTGTTTGGGGGAAAAGAGAGGGGTGGAGCAAAAGAAACCAGCTGTCACTCCTTGCTCTTACCTCTCTAGAAGGGAAGCTGAACTGTGTTGGGTGGGGAGGGGAGGAGGAAGGGAGGGGCGATTTATGCAATTCTTCCTTGAGTTCACCTTTTATCCCTACTGATAAAAAAGGGGACGGGAGTGAAGTTTTGGGCTCTGCTGGTTCCTTGAAGTTGAGCTGGCTGCCTCTTCTATTTGAGGTGGAGCACTGGATTCCTTCTTCTATTTAGTCCAGGTTTTACTGAAGCCTACTATGTGCACCACACTATGCTAAAGTCTGGGAACACCTGCCCTCAGTGCTTTAATTACAAACACACCATCTTTGAAACACAGAATAATGTTTCAGGAATGACTCTGGAAGGACAAAGTACTTTGGTTCTTAACAGCAAGAAGCCACATCTGCTGATAGGATGCTTCATGAAAAACATGGCATTGACATTGGGCCTTAAAGGATGAATGGAATTTTGATAGACAAAGAGGAGAGGAGGGCACTGGAGGCAGGGGGTCAGAGGAGTAAAGGACCAGAGGTAAGGGGTGTCCAGGAGTCCACTGTGGCTAGAGAGCAGGTAGGGGAGGAGACCAGAGGCAGGGTGAGGTGGGGATGTGAATGGAGAGCCGAGAGGCTAGCAGAGTGGAGTGCCAGGCTGGTGAGTTTGAAAGAATCAGGAGGCAAAAAAAAAAAAAGGGGGGGGTGCTTTGTAAAGATTTTGAGCCAAGTAATAACATTGATTGAATACTCACTGTTTATGTGAAAGGCGTCATCCTAGGCATTTGAGATTCGTTGATCCCTGACTTGATCCTACTCTTGATCCTACTCATGGTCTAGCAGTGAGACCAAGCAGTAAAGATTTTTGATGCAGTATGGTAAGACTCAAATATAAGTATCCTCAGCAGTTGTGGAAATAACAAAAGAGAGAGTGGTTAAATCTGTCTGAGAGGTATCGGGGAAGCATTCACAGAGGAAGACATTTGGGCTGGGTATTAAAGTTTGCATACACAGATGGGAGTTGATGGCCTTTCAAATAAATGGAATAGCATACACAAGGGCAAGAGAATTGTCTGTGTGCATGCAGGTCTGCCGTGTATAGATAAATGCACTGTTTTCTTGCACAAGAACTGGCTGGGTCAAGAGAGTGAGAGATAAAGTCTAGCTCATTCAAAGCTATGTGGAAGGACATGTAAGCCACGTGTAAGCTCAGAGTAAAGGTGTCTTACTGGAATACATCAGCCCAGAGGAGGCATTGTTTTCTAATTTGCCCTAAGGTACAAATTTTAGTGGTAGCCCTATATTCTTGTGCTTGAGAGTTGAGGCAGAAGTGCTTGAAGAAGGCTAATCTGCAGGTGATGTACACAAATCTAATTTAGACCTACCACTTGGCTGAACATTCAGTTGCTTTGTAGCTGCAGTGTGCTGGGCCTTTGGTACGGGAGAGGGGTTTGAAGTGGGTAAGGCAACACAGCCCCTGTCCTCACGAAGTTCATGTCCAGTGAGGGAGATGGACCAAAAAATGATGACAACACAATGAATAAGTATGGTGAGGAAGTCTCTACAAAGAATGGGAAAGTCATGGAGGGTTGGGGACTAAGGGATTCAGTGAACATTTCACAATAAAGATGGCATTTTTGACCTGAAACTTGAAAGCTGTGTAGCCCACCAGGCACAGGAGAAGGGGAGAGCGTGGGCACGGCCTCTGAGACATGAATGTAGGCCCCTTGTCTGGGGAGTAATTACCATCCTGGGAGCATGGGGTGGGGTCACAGTGTGTCTGGTTTGACTAAGTACAGATTGTAAGTGGTCTTGAATGCCAGATGAAGCAGACTGGACTCTATCTTACAACTGGGGCACCTTGTAAGGAACTTGTACGTGTGGGTACCATTATATTTCAGAAACATGGAAGGCAGATCCACAGAGGGCAGGCCTGGTCAGAAGATCCTCTAAGAAGCTGTTGCAAAACTTCCAGCCAGATGGAGTGTCTGGCTGGCTCAGTTGGTAGAGCATGGAGCTCTTGATCTCAGCCATGTTGAGTGTAGAGCTTACTTAAAATAAAAAAATCCCAGCCAGAGATCAAAAGAACGCTGAAATAAAAAAGTTGGACTAAGAATAGAGACCAGGGGAACAGAGTCAAGAGGCATTTAGTTGGCTAATTTAGGGAACCCAGGGAGTGGCATCTTGGGTGATGGCACGGTTTCCAGCTGGGGTCCCTGGGTGGCCAGGAGGCCAGCCTGGGGTGGAATTCCAGCCTGGCTCTTCTTGGCCAAGTGGCCCTGGCAAGTTACTTTATACATCCAAGCCTCAGGTTTGTTCTCTGAAAAGGAAGAGGGTCTATTTCGTGACTTGCTTTGATGACTTAATGAAGTAATCCATGTGAAGTGCTTCACACAGTGCTGCCGGCTGATGGTAGTAAGTACTCAGTAAATGTTAACCAGACTATTGAAGGAAGGGTCATTGTAATTAGAAAATGTGAGACAAAGGCAGTTTTAGGGGAAAAAAATAATGCTATTTATGTGTTAATTTATTTGTATCCTGCCTTGGTCTAAAAAGGGCTTATGGAAGCTTACATAGGATTAAATAAACCAGATAAAATAAATTTGTTTAAATTAAAAAAATTTTTTTTTATTTTAATGTTTTTTTATTTATTTCTGAGAGAGAGAGAGAGACAGAGTGAACAGGGGAGGGTCAGAGAGAGAGAGAGAGAGAGACACAGAACCCGAAACAGTCTCCAGGCTCTGAGCTAGCTGTCAGCACAGAGCCCGATGTGGGACTTGAACCCACGAACCGCTAGATCATGACCTGAGCCGAAGTCGGACACTCAACCGACTGAGCCACCCAGGCACCCCTAGATAAAATAAATTTAAAATGAGTGGAAAGAAATGAGGCAAAGAGAAAGTTAGGGTAGGAAATATGGGTGAGCTGAGAACACAAAATGGCACCCATGTTTTCTAAGCTTTGTGGTGGCCAGTGGGAAGAGGGTAACATGGTCACATGCGTGATTCATGGGCTCACAAGATGAAAAGCGGCTGCGTGAATGCAACTGCTCTTGATACCAGACTAGAGAGACATGTTTTCCCTGGGTTCTCCCAGAGGGGGCATTCCTTAATGGAATAGACACTATCCTTGACATTGTCCTCATGGTAAACCCCACGCTAAGCTTCATAGACAAGGGCTGATTTATCCAATGGGCACTAGAGATGACAGCGGTATGTGGGGTCGACAAGAGTTTCAAAGGTCTCAAAAATGTTGGGGACCTGAAAAGAGGTTCTCAGCCAGAATATGAACAACAGCAGCCTGTGCATTCAAAAAGAAAAGATTTTTTTTCCAAAGCAAAATTTATAGGATTCACATTAAATGCTGAAACAGAGACAATTTAATGTAGGATGTTGGGTGCATCCTCATATGTTTGATGTCAGTGGAACGTGACGCTTCACATGCAAAGATGTGAATCAGCCCCACCTGGGGTGGTAGTGACAGTGGTTAGATCACCCACTGATCTAAGCTGACAGCACCGTATCAAATCATGCCAGTGAAAGTGATTCTGGATTCTAGTGGATGGAGAGGGCAAGAACAATAATGTGTCCCTTCTCTCTCCTTTCTAACACCCTGTTGTTTGACTAGGGACTGCTTTTGAGTCAATTGAAAGATAAACATTCTCTTAGCAGATGAAAGGATTTTATTATTCTAAAATAGGATGGGCTTGACTGGTGTCTGCTAACTCATTAATTCCCAAAGGAAGGGCTGCATAGCAACCATTTTTATAAATGCCACCACTATTAGCTGGTTTTTTTTTTTTTTTTTGAAAAACAGGTCTATAATAATAGCTTAATGCAGCTGGTTACCTCACCTAGCAACCTCTCCCATACATTTTACACTAGGTTTGCTTTGGAAAGCGTATGGGGAAGTTGATTGCTCAAAGCTGGACATTCTGTGGGAACTTCCTCAAGATTTTTTTTCTTTGAATAGGTGAGATAGGTGTTTGGTTACACATACTTTTAAAAAATATCTGTGGCTAGGCTCCATGGTGGTGGTTGGGATGGAACTGGCCATGGGGAGGTGGGGGTGGGATTCCATGGCCCTTAGTACCTCTGATTCTATCTGTTTTCTCTGATACAATTGCATTTAAAAAAGCAAAGAAGGGGCACAGTGTTCCCTGTGCTAAACCACTGAAAACCATCATTCTGTGGCCTGGAATGGCCTCAGATGGGTAGGCTCTTTTATGTTAAGGAAGCTTCCCTTGTGGTTCTGATAGGCTCCTTTCCCACCCCTTCCATCTCTGAGAAGAGACCACTGGTTTTGACTTGGGGCTCTCATTTCCAGTTAACCTGTCCTGAAGAGAATCTTGCCCTGAACACAACTATGCCTGCTATATTCTAACTTGTGACCAGAGATAAGTCCATGGTCCTTCTTGCAGAGCGCTTTGTCAGGATGTGTTTTCACAAAATAATGCCAATCTCTGGTTGCTCACAGGACTGAAACATGTAGCTTCACCTGAGCAGGATCTGGTTAATGACTTACTGCTGCTCTGTTATGGGTCTATAATTTGGAGAGATTGAGGTGTACCCTTTTAAGAAAACAGAAGTCGAATCTTGACATGCCATAAAGCTGGTCAAAGTAACATGGTGAACAAGGTCTAGAGCTCTCCATTTGGAACCATTTCTCTTACTATTATTTTATTTTATTTTTTAATGTTTATTTATTTTTAAGAGAGACAGAGACAGAGCATGAGTGGGGGAGGGACAGAGGGCGAGGGAGACATGGAATCCGAAGCAGGCTCCAGGCTCTGAGCTGTCAGCACAGCGCTTGAACTCACCAACTGTGAGATCATGACCTGAGCCAAAGTCGATGTTTAACTGACTG